GATGCCACTGCAAAGGACCTTCGGAGCCTGCTCTCCCATGGATACTGCCCTGGAACTCAGCCAGGCGCTACGTGACGCCCTCGCCTGTGGCCTCCACCTCGTTCCTTCATGTCTAAAAGCGCCCAGTTCCAAATCTACAGCAAACCCCCGGTGCCTCAGCGGGAGGATCCCCACCATGGCCCTTTCTCCTGCCCATCACAGCTGCTTCTCCTCCCGGGTGCCGGAGGGGAGCAGGTGCGGTCTGCAAGGCTGTGAGGCCCACATTTTTCTACTTTGTAAATCACAGGGCTGCTTGGCTAGTTCTTGTTCACCCCAGGACCCTGGGTGGAGGCTGCGCTGTCACCGGATACGGAGCGGGAAGAGCCTCTGTGGTTCTTGCCCGCCCCCCCGGGCACCAACCTCTCCTTCCTAAGCGAGGGGCAGCAGCCCCAGGGCGTAGAGATAGACGGGAGGAATAGCTACTTCGTTTCTTAAGCAGCAGTGGTTTCATTCCTGCCTTACCTGTGAGAAGTGGCCTCGGGGCCGGCACTGTGGTACAGTGGGTTAAAGCCCTGGCCTGAAGCACCAGCATCCCATATGGATGCCGGTTCTAGTCCTGACTGCTCTACTTCCAATCCAGCTCTCTGCTATGGCCTGGGAAAGCAGCACCCAAGTGGGAGACCCTGAAGAAGCTCCTGGCTCCTGGCATAGCTCCAACCATTGCGAACATTTGGGGAGTGAACCAGCAGGTGGAAGTTCTTTCCCTCTCTCTGTAATACTGCCTCTCAAATAAATCTTTTTAAAAAAAAAAAAAAGTGGCCTTGGCCCCCACACCAATCCTTACAGCGCCACCTCCATCTCCAGCCAACATAAGGCACCTCTAGGTCACTTCCCATGTGGCAGGTCCAGAGTCCCGAAAGCCAGAAACTGTGGGGAGATGCAGTCCATCAGTTCTCAGCAGAACAAGGGGCATGGAGCGGGTGAGAGTGTGGCAGATGGGACAGGAAACCAGAACTCACCTCACAGCAGGTGTGAGCTCCAGAGACTGAGTGACAAGCCGCAGTCGCATGGCTGTGACTGAAAGGTCAGCTCCAAGGACCCATCTGACCCCCACAACCGTGACCTTAACCATTGCGTCACCACCTACCAGGCTGGGTCCTGTTCTCCCTCCTACAGGAAGCCTTCCCGATTGACCCTAGCCTCGTTTGCATTTCTCTGTTGCACAGGCCATCATCTCCCAGGCTCCGTGGTTCGCTGGCAGCCTTGGGCCTGCCTTGCTGGAGAGACTCGATTGCTTTTTTTCTCTCTGTGGCCACATCTGGGGACCAAGGAGGCGGGATGCTTCCCGACAGGACTGATGGGCTCCCTGGGTAATGTATAAGAGGTATGTTGGTTGAGGTGGGTCAGGGTGCTCTCTGGGCTCATGGGAAATTCCGAGGGAGGCCAATGGAGGGGGATGCTGTGAAGAAGATCAGGAACTCGCCCCGGGAGGCAGCCCCTCTCCTTGGGAGTGTCGCCCCTTGTCCCCGGGCGAGCCTCCTGTCCTTGGCCCTCCTTCCTGCCACACAACAGGGCCACCTGCTGTTGGCTGGCAGGGTCGCCCCAGGCCCGAAGCCAGCCTGCCCGGCTCCCCAGGCGCTTCCCACTGCCTCTGCTCCCGCTGCCCTGTCCCCAGCAGGACGCTGCTGCCCGCCCGCCTGACAAGTGTCAGCCCGAGGTGTGGACACCTTCTCCTTGGTGGCTTCCCCTTTTTCATTAGGTTTGACAACGCGTTTTCCCGAGATTAATAGTGCAGGGGGAGCCAGAATATGAGGCTTTTAGTGGTGACAAACTGCCAGGCCCAAGTGGCTCTGGAAGTTGGGTTGCAGCAGGAACCGTTCAGCGGCAGAGCCCTGGGGCAGGGGTGGGGTGGGGGAAGGGAGGTGACAGCTGCCACTTCCAGGAGGCCTGGGTCCCCCTAGACCAGGACAACCTCTGTAAGACATCAGTCCTTCATCTTGGCCCTTTTCTGCACACTGGAGACTGTCACGCTGTGCCCGGCGGGCCCCAGTGCCCCTCCCCCAGCCCAGCCCCGAGCCCTCCCCCGTGAGTGGTGGTCAGTGGGCTGCTGTTCCTGGGGGTGATACTCAGCAGAGAGTACCAAGAGACCAAGAGGCCAGGCCCTGCAGGGCAGCTCCCGTCCCGTGGCTTCTTCTTTCCACTGGCCCAGTCTGGCATTTTCTGAGGGCTTGAGGACAAAGGACGGGAGGATATGGACCCATCTGGCAACTTGCACCGCATGGGTCCCTCCTAGCTGGCATCTGCCACCATCCTGCCCCCTGCACCTGCCCTTAGACATGTCCAGTTGTCCGAACTGGGCTATACACCTTGCAGTGTATAATCAAGAGAATGCAGGGGAAAGATGCGCTCGATTCGTTCTCAGAAACGAATTCTTTCTCTACATATGTAACACTCCTCCACACACATGTAATGCATGTGGGCATACATGCACACACAGGCACACGTGTACTCTTGTTCCTGTGCAAAAGCAAGGTGGGCATTATGGCACAGTGGGTTAGGCTGCTGCTTTCAACACCGGTGTCCTGTATCATAGCTCTAGTTCCAATCCCAGCTGCTCTGCCTCCAATTCAGCTCCTTGCTAATGCACCTGGGAAAGCAGCAGATGACAGCTGAAGTGCTGGGCCCTGCCACCCACATGAGAGAGCCAGATGAAGCTCTGGACTACTGGCTTTAGCTTGGCCCAGAGCCAGAGGTTGCGGCCATCTGGGGAGTGAACCAGAGGATGAAAGATCTCTCTCTCTCTCTCACTGTCACTCTGCCTTTCAAATAAATGAAATAAATCTCTAAAAATACATGCTCCAAAATGCACGCTTGCATGTACATGCACACGCGCCATGCCTGATCAAGTGCATGCAAACACTCACTCGTGCATCACTGTGCTCCCAGATATGCACACAGAAGCAGGTGCACACGCAGATTCTGTGTGCATAGACACATTGTCTCTCACGTTCTCTCTCTCTCACACACACATACACAGCCTTCCCCCGTCTCAGGAGCAGCCTCTGGCCCCATCTCAGCTGCAGCCTGAGTCCCTAGACTGGAAAAGTATGTAGAGATGACCAGGTTCAAGCCCCTCACCAGACCCACGAGCAATCAGAGGCCTAGAGATGTGAAGCCACGTGTGCTTTGAGAACTTGAGCTGAGCTTGAATTCCCGACAGTCACATCCCAACCAGGGTCTTTCCCCACTTAAACTGGCTTTGTATTCTTCTAGGCCGAAAAGATTTCCCACTCATGTTACTTCCCAGGGAACCTTCATGATTCACTTGAGAGCCATGATCATTATGATTGAGCTCATTTTGTGTACAAGAAAATTGAGGCCTATGCCATATAAATGACTCACCAAAGCAGGAAGCTGGTAATAAATGTAGGGTTTGCCTCCAGACCGCTGACTCCAGGCCAGGTCACTTAGGACCACCCAGAAACCCCTTCCTTTCTATCCCCAGCCCATCATTCTGTTGGTACCTTGGAGCCTAGAACCCAAATCTTTTCCAGTGGCGTGGAAGAGCTATATGACCTTGGCAGGTCACTTCGGCAAGCTAGGCCTTTGTTTACTAAGCTGTAAAATAAATGGGGAATGTGTCGATAGCTATCTTTTGGAGCTGATTTTATGACTAATAACTCACAAACATGCATAGGATTTTTAAACTGGAAAGTGTTGTACAATGGCATGAGAAATTTTTATTAACAGCTTCAAAGTGCTTAGAACAACTAAGGCATGGACAGATTCCTCCTTCATGAACTTTCTCGTGCTGTCATCTGTCGAAGTGAATTGGTCAATGGGTAAGAAATTCAGATGAATGGATAGATAGGTGATTTTTAAAAGATTTATTTATTTATTTGAAAGGCAGAGTTACAGAGGCGGAAGCAGAGAGAGACAGAGACAGAGAGAGAGAGAGAGAGGTCTTCCATCCGCTGGTTCACTCCCCAGATAGCCACAATGACTGGAGCTGGGCCGATCCAAAGCCAGGAGCCAGGAGCTTCCTCCAGGTCTCCCATGCAGGTGCAGGAGCCCAAGGACTTTAACTGTCTTCTTTTTTAAAATATTTATTTATTTATTTGAAAGGCAGAGTTAGAGAGAGAGAGAGAGGTCTTCCATCTGCTGGTTCACTCTCCAAATGGCCACAATGGCTGGAGCTGGGCCAATCTGAAGGCAGGAGCCAGGAGCTTCCTCCAGGTCTCTCACACAGGTGCAGGAGCCCAAGGACTTGGGCCATCTTCCACTGCTTTCCCAGGCCACAGCAGAGAGCCCGATCAGAAGAGGAACAGCCAGGACTCAAAGCGGTGCCCATATGGGATGCCGGCACCACAGGTGGTGGCTTTACCCACTACGCCACAGCGCTGGTCCATAGATAAATGATTTTAGAGACTACAGAAATACACTACGGTAAGTATGCGCGTGTTCACTGTGAATATCTTTCAATTTGGCTGTATCAGGTGTAGGGGAGAGGGCACAAATTAAAGCACGAGAGACCGTAACAACCACAACAGAGTCTGGAGCCCAGAAGAGGGGCATAACTCCACCCTCTTCAGCTAAAGGCCAAATAGAAACATTGGAAACTCTAGACAGCACATGGGTTGAGCTACATTATTTTCCACTTGTCGGTGAGGACCATGGGTCCTGGAGAGCACTTCCTGGCCCCCGAGATGACCACGGACGCTCACTGCAAAGGGTCAGGGCTGATAGCAAAGACCAGACCCAAGCCTCATCCTTCCATCCTTCCCACTTGAAAGTGTCCTGTGGCCCGAAGATGCCCGCCCTGCCCCCAGCTCTCCCCGTGCCCTGGAAGCCGGCGGCAAACCTTGCAATGAATTCCATCACACCAAGTCTTCTGCAGACACCAAGCAGGGCCAGGGCCAGACACCAAGCAGGGCCAGGGCCTCTCCTCGGAGCTCCCAGGCACCAAGCTCCTTGTGAGTGTTCTAGAAGGTCCCGTTTCCAGGGTGCTTTGGTCTGACAGCAGGTGCACCCCCGAGTCCCTGGGTGGGACCTTAATCCTCATGGTGGTGGTGTTAGACAGGGGGCCTTGGGGGTGATTAGGTCGTGAAATAGGGTTCTCATGAATGGAACCAGTCCCTCTGCACAGGGCTGAAGCGGCTGGAGTTCTCCTCCTTCTGCCGTGTGTCACAGACACCAAGAAAAGACAGCACCTGTGTGCCAGGAGGGGGCGCTCGCCAGGCCCTGAACCTGCCAGCACCCAGTCTTGGACCTCAGCCTCCGGAGCTGTGAGAACCTGAGTGTACTGTTCAACAGGCACCCAGCTTGTGCTTTTCTGCTGAAGTGTCCCAAGCACATGGGGACACGCCAAGGGACGGCCAGAGGGGAGGGACGGAGGGGCCCTCTGCGCCTGGGGAGGAAGCATCAGGGAGTGGACCCTGGTCCTTCCCCGTGGTGCTGCTGAGGCTCGGGGCAAGAGGAGAGGCTCCTGGCCTGAGCTCGGGCAGGCGGGCTCAGAAGGGAAGTGAGAAGGTTTGTACAGCTTTATGATGCCAGCCAAGATGATTTCCTCCTTTGACCTTTGCCTGTTCAAACTGCTGTCTCGGAAGCCGCTGAATGTGCTGTTAGAGAGGCGGGCGTCCCCCTTCAGAGTTCCTGGGCTCCAGTCCCAGCTGCAGATCCTGACTCCGGCTTCTTGCTAATGCAGACTTTGGAAGACAGCAGTGGTGGCTCAAGCAATGGGGTTCCTGCCACCCACTTGGGAGACCTGGACTAAGTTCCCCGCTCCTGGCTTTGGCGCCACCCCATCCCTGGCTGTTGCAGGCATTTGCAGAGTGAACCAGTGGTTGGGAGTCTCTCTCTCTCTCTCTCTCTCTCTCTCTCTCTCTCTCCTTTTCCCTCTCCCTCTCCCCCTCTCAAATCAACCATAACAATGTCCCATTCTATTCAGTGTTTTCTGAAGGCCATCAATGAGATATTGAAAGGAGCTCCTGACAATTCCTCTCTCCTGGAAATACCTTATGTTCATTTTATACCTGCAGAGACTCAGATGTGGTCTGTCCATAGCTCCCATGAGATGCACAAGGGGCGTGGTGACAGAGCTGCAATGTGTGGGTGTGCAAGTGACCGAGCCTGGACTTCCGAGTAGGTAGGGCCACAGCACTCCACCTACCAGCTGTCCTGGGGGAGTTGCGTGTCTCTGAACCTCAGCTGACTCATCACGGCTGCCTCAGACGCTGAGCGTGGAGATTGAGACCATAGGAGGGGACTTCAAAAAGTTCATGGAAAAACAGGATTAAAAGATAAGCTCGTTTGGGTGCAAAAATTTTTGAAATCCATACAAAGTGTTTTACAAAAAAACACTGTTTCCATGAATTTTTTGAAGATCCCCTATAGTATGTGTGTGTGTGTCTATGTGTGCATCTGTCCCCATGTGTCTGTGTGTGTCTGTATGTGTGTCTGTGTATCTGTGTGCCTGTGTATGTGTCTATGTATGTCTATGTGTGTATTTGTGTGTGTGTCTGTGTCTGTGTGTGTGCCTGTGTCTGTGTGTGTGCCTATGTATGTGTCTGTGTGTGTCTGTTGTGTCTGTGTGTGTGTGTGTAATTCAAGAGCGACCCAGACACCTTATGGCCCTAACCGTGTGATTCCAACTCCCTTCCAAGAAGTATCACACCCCTCAGGAATGCTGCTTGTAGTAGATCTCTAGCAGGCCAACTTACTCAATCTTGAGAGTATTTGGCCAAGGTCAGATTTGAGGGGATTGGGGTAGGAAGAAGGAATGAACCCCACTCAGTCTGCTAAGGACACTGCAGACATAGCTCCCGCTTCTTGTTGCCAAGTGGTAGTAGCCATGAAGCTGACCACCGCATTTTCGCCCTTCGTCTTCTCTTTTCCCCAACTGGTTGAACATCGCCAGAAAGAAGAATGCGCGGGCCCAGCCCTTGCCCAGCACAGACCACAAGTCTGCACAGGCTGAGTCCCTGGGAGTGCCCAGTAGACAGAGGGAAATCGTGCACAAACTCTTAACTCACAGCCCCCAGCGCAGAGCAGCCGGACTATTTAGCCATAGAAATCAATAACGCCCCCCTGCCCAATCTGGCAAATGAGAGCTGTGCCCCACATGCTCATCTCCCATTAATCCTGTTTGACCAACAGAGCTGAGGCCACGGGCACTCCCAGGAAGGCTGGCCTCCAACCCTTGTAGGGCGGAGGCACACCTCCCCCTAAAGGTTAACGAGACGATTATGTTTCTGGTTAAAGATGAGAGCAGACAAGGGCACCGGGTTCATTATGTCGTTTAGAATACAGAGCAGCTAACCAGAGGAGAGGGGTGTGGAACAGAATCAGCAGAGTTAACAGACTCATTCTGGGAGCAGGGGAGTGGAATTTCTTTTTTTTTTTTTCCTGCTTCCGTCTTCAGATCCTCCTTATGCTCACAGGTGGTCGGTCGTGCTCATTCCCTGTTCTGTATCCGTGTGCCCAGAGGCAGGAGGTCGGAGCAATGACACGAGAGCATCACCAGCTGGCCCACGGGGAAGCCCAGCCCCTGGATCGCAGGAGAGTTTGGGCTGCCGTGAGATAGGCCAGCTTCCAGATCTGGTCTTCAGCGGGGAGAGTCACGTTCTTTCCTGTCCACGTGTCCATGAATTTTTCTCTAGGAATCTGCCCCTGGAGGGCTTACCTTCGCGTGAAGAAACACGCAGATGCCTGAAACCAGGTAGGGCATGCTTAGAGTAGGATGGAGCCACGGGAGCATCGTGTCTAACCTTGGGCTTCCAGGTGACTTCCCGAGGTAAGTGATGCTTCAAAGGCTGCGTGTAGGATTGGCAGGAGACAAAAGGCACGTGGGAGGCGGTGAGGTTAGGGAAGGAGGGTAGAGCCTGAGAAGTCAGCTATGCAAAGGCCTCTCTCTGCAGGGCTTGGCTCACTCTTGCCTGTAGACAACAGGTCTTTATCAGAGGAGCCCAGGAGGGACTGACTGCAAGAGACTTGATGCAATGTTGTGCAATGACCTGAAGGAAAATGAGCAGGTAAAAGCAAACAGGCCGTGGGGAAGGTTTGGATGTGTTGGTGGTAGGGGGTGGGGAAGGAACTGATCTGGTGGGTGTTTCCAAAAAGACCCTTGGATCTTGTCTTTGCAACTGCTGCAGGCAGTACCAGCAGAACCACCATCAGTACCCAGCAATCTGTGCTCTAAGGCAGAACCCTGGCCCAATCCAGACCTGCAGGCCTTCAGGACACTTGGCTGCTCTTTGCCAAGGCAAAGGGAGGAAATAAAGAACTTCACAGCTTTGCTCTGTGCAGTGCAAAGACACATAAACTTGGGAAACCCTAAAGGAATTATTTTGCAAGTGCACAGCCCCTTGTAAGGGAGGTTGCAGGTTTGCATCTACTGTCTTGGCTTCTCCTAACAAAAGCTGAGGATGGGAAGGTTATTCAGGTGGAGAGGAGAGGGCAGATGAACACGTTCCCATCACTGGTTGGAGATAAAGAAACCAAGCCTGCAAGGGCCATCCCAGGTGACTGGTTCACCAGCATATCCCAGCACCATGCAGGTACTCTGTACACGCTTGTTCGGCTAAGGAAGAAGTGGTGTGTTCAAGATCACACCGTGCAGAGTGTGGGCATAGGAGGTCTCCCAGGGGCTTCTGATGCAAGCTGTTGCCCCCATCCATCAGACGTGGCTCTTCTAGGGAGGCAGGGAAGGGGAGTAAGGGACAAAAATATGAGGAGGAGCAAGAGGTGTGGCCAGCCAATCTCTGACAGCGCTTTCTTCAGAAATGTGTCCAAGATATTTATCAAGTGCAAGCTGAGGGTTGAGAATGGTCTTGGGCCAAGGTCCAGATTGACACAAATGGTGCATACATGATCTGGGTTCAGAAGCAGGAAGCAGCTCCCCTCCAACAAGGGGAGCAGGGAGGCACCCTTGTCCAGGCCACGGCTGTGTGCTGCCCCTCCAGATACAGGAATCACCGTGTATCTGCCCAAGATCTTCTTTTTTTTTTTTTTTTTTTTGACAGGCAGAGTGGACAGTGAGAGAGAGAGACAGAGAGAAAGGTCTTCCTATTTCCGTTGGTTCACCCCCCAATGGCCGCTGCGGCCGGCACACCGTGCTGATCCAAAGCCAGGATCCAGGTGCTTCTCCTGGTCTCCCATGTGGGTGCAGGGCCCAAGCACTTGGGCCATCCTCCACTGCACTCCCTGGCCACAACAGAGAGCTGGCCTGGAAGAGGGGCAACCAGGACAGAATCCGGCACCCTGACCGGGACTAGAACCCGGTATGCTGGCGCCGCTAGGTGGAGGATTAGCCTAGTGAGCCGCGGCGCCGGCCCAAGTTCCTTTCAAAGACTGTCTTCAGAGTGGTGTAGCAGATAAAGCCACCGCCTGCAGTGCCGGCATCCCATCTGGGCACCCATCATGTCCTGGCTGCTCCACTTCCAAGTCAGCTCCCTGTTGATGGCCTGGGAAAAGCAGCAGAGGATGGCCCAAGTGTTTGGGCCCCTGCGTCCACGTGGGAGACCTAGATGAAACTCCTGGCTACTGGCTTTGGCCTGGCCCAGCCCCTGACATTGTAGCCATCTAGGGAGTGAACCAGCAGATGGAATATCTCAATCTCTCTCCTTCTGTCACTCTACTTTTCAAATAAATCAATCTTTAAAGAATAAATAAAAGTTTGCTACCATTTTTATAAATTAAAATTAGTATTTTATTGTTGTTTCTTTAATCACATCTGAATATGCCCATTTTATGTAGTTATCACCCATTTGGGTTGATACTCTATAGCATCTCCTGATTTAGGCAACCCCTTCCCTATTCCAGTCCTGCTAGGGTAGATGTGTGCTCTGCTGTGTCTTTGGTCTTTGTTTTGCTTACAAAAGTAACGCATGCTAATACCAAAGACAAAAAATACAGCAAAGCATAAAAAGGAAGAGTGCTACTAAACCCATAACTCAGAAAGGATCACTAATTGATTTTGTTCTCTAGTAGGTAACCAGTTATGTTCTTTTCATTGATTTTTAAGTAGTTTTTAAAACATGAAGGAAATTAATTCCTTATCTATAGTGTGTTTTAAAAGCTTTGTCTATTTTGGTTTGTTTATGATGGTGATGTGTTTTTTTCCCCCATAAAATGCTAGTAATGTTTACAAAGTCAGGCTTATCAATGCTTTTCTTTCTGCGTTTTACACTAATTTTGTTTTGTAAGAGCCTCCCCTTCTGATTGCTGCTTTATTTTCAGTGAGTTTCAAAACTTCAACCAGAGAATTAATTGAAACCTGGCTTGCTACAAAATGAATGCGTGGATATGAATTGAAGCCTTGCCCACATAGCCAATGATTCTCCATGTCAATCACTGAATAATCCACCTTTGCCTTTTGGTGAGCTGCTTCTTCCACCACAAATGAAGTGCTTGTGTGCATCAGGGATTGGGACGGGGCTAGCAGTTTCTGCCAGTCGCTCTGTCCACCCTGTCAGTATCATGCTGTTTTAAGTACAACGGCTCTACAATGCATCTTGGTGTCTGTGGTTGCAAATCTTTCCCCTAATTTGCTCATAAAAACTCTAACTGCCATTACTTTATCTTCCAAATGAACTTCTAACTCATTTTGGTAATGAGTATGTACAAAGATACATCAAAAATTTTGTGGAAAAGGGAATTAAAGGATAAGGATTATGGGGGCAAATAATTTTGAAATTCACTCATAGTTGTTTTCATAATATGCACTTTTTGCAGACTTCCTGAAGACCCATGTCTGCATGGATTTCAAGATTTCTTTGCACCAGGATACGCTTCCCTTGTAACTACATTTTCCACAAACTCTCTGCAGTGCTCTGGTGGATATACAGTTTTAAGATTACGAATGATTTCTGTTCATTTGGAAAGAGTAACCAAGTTTATTATGTCCTGTTCCATCGCATTGTGCTCTAAAGCACTGTCAGAAAACTATAGCCAAGTGTGGCCCCTTGACTCTTTTTGTAAATAAAGATTTATTGGTACATAATCACAATCCTTTGTTTGCATTCCAGTTTTAATTGCTTTATGCCACAGTGGTAGAGTCGGGTAGTTGTGGCATAGACTACATAGCCACAAAGTCCAAAAAGTTAACTTGCTATAAAACAAGTTTGCTACCATATGTTCTAAGGCAAAGTAATTCTCTCTCTCTCTCTCCACCTCAATCTGTAAATACATACAGCTTTTTTAAAAATCCATAGAAAAATGAAAAAGGAGTAAAAGATGAAATAGATTTTGTCAATTCAGAAAAATTTTGTTACCACTGGAGTTCAAAGGAATACAAATTAAAGCCTTGACACGCCATTTATATTTTATCATGCTAGAAAAGACCTTAAGGAGTTTCTTTCTCATGGCGTGGAAACATAGGGCTTCAGTGAAAATGTGGGGATCTAAATTGGTACAAGCCTTTGGGGAAACTGGTATTCTATATTGGAAGCCTTAACATTTTATTTTATTTTATTTATTTGAAATACAGTGTTACAGAGAGAGGTAGAGACAGAGAGAGGTCTTCCATCCACTGGTTCACTCCCTAGATGGTCACAATGGCCAGAGCTGTGCTGATCCGAAGCCAGGAGCCAAGAGCCTCCTCTGGGTCTCCCATATGGGTGCAGGGGCCCAAGTGCTTGGGCCATCTTCTACTGCTTTCCCAGGCCATAGCAGAGAACTGGATTGGAAGAGGAGCAGCTGGGACTAGAACTGGCATCCATATGGGATGCTGGTGCTTCAGGCCAGGGCTTTAACCACTGTGCCACAGCGCTGGCCCCAGAAGCCTTAACATTTGTCTTTCCTTTAGTGTAGTAATCCCACTTCTGTGTCATCGTAAGATGTAATCAGAGGTAGGCAGAAAGATTTATGCACTAGGATATTCATCATAGCATTATTTGTAATGGTGAAAAATTGGAAATAACCTAATGTCCATCTGTCAGGGATCGGTTAAGTAGACTATTATGTAGTCATTAGAATTTAGAAAACTGTGTAACAATGCTGACAAATGACTTCTCTGTTTTCTTGAGGTTCTACCATTGCGTCTACAGAAGGAGGCATGGTGGTGAAGTACTCTGTGTGTTGTCTACAGTTGGGATAAAACCTGTCTGTGGCATCTCTGAGGGTGCCAGGTTTTGTAACCATCATGATTATGGCACCGCTGCCATGGAAACGGGCTTCCTTAGTGTCTGAGACCCACTCAAGCGAGGGTGAAGAGCAGTGTATCTGCTACATGGAATCCACCTCTGCCTCTGCTTCCCTCCTGCCCTGTGCACCTGCTGTCCAAACTATTCCCTCCTCAACCCCTGGACACAAACGTAGATATGCCCCATGAGTTTGAGAGAGGGAGAGAGAGAGAGAGAGAGAGAGAGAGAGAGAGAGATCTTCCGTCCTCTGGTTTACTCCTCAAATGGCCAACAGCCAGAAGCCAGGGGCCTGGAGCTTCTTCCAGGTTTCCCACTGATTTCAAGGGCAGCTCACCACGCCGCTATGAAAGCCCATCGGAACCACTCTTTGGTGGCAGGTGGGACGCAGTCCTGCAGCCTCTGGGAGCCCAGCCACCCCCTTGCTGCAAAAACTCTCTCCTCTGGGGGTTCCCAGCAGGCATCCCCACAGCACCTGCACCCTCCTGGAGGCGGGGCACCCACCGCCTTCCCAGAGATCACTGTTGAAGGAGTTCCATCCTGTAGTGGGGTGAGGTTCAGCTCACATCTGAGTTTCCCCTAAGAAACCCACCTTACGGATTCTCTCCCCGTCTCTGCTCCCTTCAGCCTTTTTTAACTCCTCGGGGTGGCCAAGGGGATTGAGAATTGTAGCAGCAATGATTAGACACCACCTGATGGCACAATGCAAAATGTGTGCCCAACAGGGCAGCAGGACACCAGCTCCTGTCTTTCTACTCTATCTAAGGCAGGAAAGGTTCACTTTCACACCTCAAATGAGACTTTCTGCCTTCCACTGCTATCACACAGAAAGTGTCAGTCCCATTGGACTTCCAGTTCCCCTATCTGCTCTGCTCCACCCCTGCACTCACCTGACAGGTGCGTACCCACAGCACAGGGCTGTCCAAACGCTTCCCTCCCCAAGCTGGCCACAGCCTTCCCTCGGCCAGCCTTTCCTAGAGCCTGCGGGCCGTGCCCTGTCTGGTGAAAGAGTTCAGATCTCCCTTAAGTGGACATAAATCCTCCCCACAGTGCCAGCAGCCCACCCATCAGGGCAGGGCAGGAGTAGGCGCTCAGGGATCGCGTGCTTAATCCTGCCCTTGATATTCAGCAGGGGCCTTGGTTGTACCTTTTGCTAGACTGGGTTCTTTGAGGTCAGAGTCACGGAGGTGGAGAGGTGGCCCCAGATGGTGTGAAGACGTCTGATGGGTGCAGAGAAGGCTGACATCCGTGAACGGGTCCGAGATGGGATCTCAGTAATCTGTGCCAACCCGGAAACTCAGAGGGGCAAGGACCCGGCAGAGCAGAGCTTCCTTACGAGTTAATCGTGAGGCCCAAGTTATGGAAGATTAACCAGACAAATGAAGTGAGGTGATCAGAGCGGGCGGCTACCACTCCTTCGAGAAAGCAGATCACTGACGTCAGGATTAATGTGGCCCGACCACCGAGTCTGTCCGGGGCCTCCCCGTGTCGTATTTCTTGTCTCTTATTTGTCTTGGCTGCCCACCTTGGTGCAGAGGAACTGGGAGCTGGGGTTGCACAAAGCTGGGAGACCTTTGGGAAGACCCTGAGGCCCTGCAGTGCCTTGGAGCTGGTGTCTAACATTGAATACTTAGCTTAGCCGGTGAATTGGTAAGAACAAGGAAAAGAGCATAGTGTTATTTCTTATTATTTATCTATTTATTTATTTTGAGCTCTCAGCGATGGGGCTGGGAAAAACATGTGCGCTGATGAGTAGGAGGCTTGTTTGTGTCGGGACAATAGGTGTGCAGCTCTGGTAACCATGCCCACAGCTGCACCAGGCTGCAAAGGGGGTGGGAGTTGCAGCGCCAGGATTTGCAGCCTGGGGGGGGCACTGGGGTCTCTCTACAGGAGGCTTCTAGTGCAGCAGTGTGGGTGGAAGCGCCAGGGGTGGGAGGCACTTCTCTTAGAGTGGGCTGATCGCAGCACAGGTGGATTGGCAGGGGAGTCAGGATGGAAGCTGATGGAGATGAAGATGGATTCTCCCCAAGCCCACCTCAGCGTGACCCCCGGAAAACGCAGCCTGTGTGGCAGGACTTGAAAAGACTCAGTCAGCCAGTGAGTCCCAGCAGTCAGAGTTGAGTCTGCTGGGCTGTCTTCCAAGGCCTTTGACAAGGGGAAGAGCCACCTTCCTCTGCCTTTAGTTTTAGGCCTAGGGGACAAGCGGGTGGCAGGGGGACAGACGCCCAGGGCACCATCTCCACCAAAAAGCAGTGTCCCGGAGTGGAGCATGCACCCACAGTGCCTCTCCATCTCCAGAGTCTGCCCGGGCATGGGGCTCTCGCCCTGCCTCTGGGTCTGGGAGACAAATGCCCCATGTGGGACACTGTCCGCACAGGTCTGCACCAGCATCCTCCCAGGGCCTGTGACCACCCTGAGATCCCCCGGAAGTGGGGCTGCCTACGTGCCAAGGCTCCCTCTCCTGGCTGCACCGGGAGTGAGCCCCAGTGAGTAAAGATCCCACCTGCGCAGGTCTCAGCCTGGGTGGGGCTCTGCCTGTGGCCAACACCTTCTCCCCAGTGCAGTGTGGCCCCCGCCTCAGCTGCACATCACATCAACCCAGGCACCTGAGGCTCTGGAGGAGAATTTCTCCCGATGATCGCTTTCTGCAAATGTTCTCAGAGACCTGAGAAAGAGGCGCCTTCAACATCTGAGTCTCCAGACCGAGCCCTGCTATGCTCCCCAGGAGCTGCGTGCTGCCTCCCTCCCTCCCTCTCTCCTGCCTGGCGCTTACCTGGGCTGCTTTGATTTCCTGGCCCCTGGTAAAGTTTGGTAGAAATATTTTCACCTACAGATGCTTCTCATTTATTGCTAAGCTTATTTCTGGACATTCCATGTTTGAGATTGTTGTAATAAATAAGGATTACTTTTCTTATCAACTGAGGGTTACTAATAAAATAGAACGATTCTATTTTGTCATGTAATATGTCACTTTACTCTGTTCTCTTATTAATTCTAGTAGTTTTCAGTTCATTCTGATCAGTTTTCCGAGAAGCTAATCATATTATAAGCACAAAAACCTCATTTTTTTCTTTTAGAATGTATTAAGATCCCTGCACCCCACATACAGGTGCGTAGGTCCAGTTCTCAGCTCAAGCTCTTGACTCCGGTTTCCTGGGAGGGAGCAGTAGTGGCTCCAGCGACTGAGTTCCCTCCACACAGGAGAGACCTCGCCTGAGCACCCAGCTCCCAGGTCCCGGCCCCTGTGTGTGAGTGAGAGAGAGAGAGAAACTTTCCAAGGTTTTCTGTTCTCTAGAATGTTGAAATGACCTCTTTTTGTAAAGGACTGATAAATCTTGCCTGTAAAACCTCTGGTCTCTGCATTTTTATGAGACCAGTTCTTCAGCAACATGCTTATTTCATAAAGATATTTTCTACTGCAAGAGTATTTTGTGTTTTCTGGATTTTTCTTCAGCCAGTTTAAATGTGCTCTCCCTGAACATGACCAATTCTCTGGAGTTTCCACTTTTAGCAGAGTTGTTCATAGAAACCTCTTGCAAGTTTATAAATCCCCTCCATATCTGCAATTATATCCTTATTCTCAATCCTATTTTGGTCTCATTTTTCCTTGATTAGATTTCTTGGTCTTGAATATTTGATTCATCACTTTGGAGAGCGTAATCTCGTTTATTTAGCAATTCTGCCGAGTGCATATTTATGCCTGTTATTTCTGTTAATTCCTTCCTCCCACTTCCATATGCTTTCTTGTGTTTCACTGATTGGCTGAGTTTCATGGTCAGAGGATTTGTTTTTATTTTCGTCTTGCTTAATAAGAAAAATATCTAAGATTATTATTATAATAATAAGTACAGCTTTGGCTGCAGCCCATAAGTTTTCCTGTGTTTCTGTCTCATTATTTTTCAAACAGTCTATATTTGTACTTGTGTTCTCTCTTTTACTGAATTACACAAAAATGTGTTTATTAAATTTCAAGTAGTTTCTCATTTGAAATTATATTATTTACATCTAGTTTGTACTGCAGTAAGATAATACAGACTTTACAACATTTAAAAAATTTATTCAGATATTTTAGGGGTCTAATGTAATTACTGTTGTAAATATTCCACGGACTACAAAAAAAATAAACCTCATCTCTGTGGCATTTGATATATTGCTATTAAATCAACTTTGCCAATAGGCTTCTGTGACTTTGATATATTAAGTGAGCCAAGAATAAAATGTGATATCAAATCAGAGACACAGAATTATAATTCACCACTAAAATTGGGCTTCTCTCCATTTATCTCCATGTTTCTCATAGCTCTTCCATATACACTTTGAGTCAAGGTTATTCACGA